GCAACACTCCTACATGGAAAAACGTCTCAGTTTTACAGATGGGGAATGTGCTGCATAAAAGGGTGGTTTGGGTCTTCAGAGTGCCGGTGGCACAGCCTAAATCTCTCAGTCTTAGTTCAGCTGTAGGTCTGCAACAGCCTGGGCCCTGCAATCACTAACAGTAGTAACTATGCAGCTTTCCAAAAGGGCAAGAAGATTGTTGCTGCTGGCATTGTCCTTGGAGCCTTTCTGCATCAGGAAACACACACAGAACCTCTTTACCATCTGGTTGAACCGGGATGATGAGCCTCCAGCTTGGAACGCTTGAGCAAGCCTCGTCTCAGCATGACCACAGCAGGATCCATGCAGCAGCTTCCTCACTGGTTCTGCACTTGCCTCTGTGCCTCCATGACGTGTCCTGTAACGCTGAGTGCCAAGATGCTCTGGGCTCTTTCCCACAACTGCTGGTTTGTCCTTCAGGGGAAACTGTGGGAAAGACACTGGAAGACTGCTGGCACTTAAGTGATCTTTGACCGTATCTTCATTAGAGAGTGACGAATTTTGAAATAGCCCCAGCTGGGAAGAAAAAGGAAAAAGAAGAAGTGGGGCAGCCTTTTTCTCCCAGCTGTGTAAGCCTGCTCTAATTGTCTGCATCTGCTAAGTCATGGCACTGACGCTTGTACCAGGAAGCAGGCATCAGTGATGTAAGTCAGGTTAGAGATGTGGTGGGCACCCACCCTCACAGAGGCACTGCTGTGGCCAGTTTCTAAGAGTCTGTCCTTCGTGACGTCAGTACCTGGATAATGGCTTGGAAATGCAGAGAAATGGTGTTCCGTGTTGGTGATGGAGCTTGGAAGGGAATTGTGACCTCCTCCAGTAACAAATCTGTGAGATCAAACACCCCGATCATAAAGCAGGATGTGTATGCAAGAATAAATAAACCTTTCTTAATCCGATCAACCAGGTTATTCTGGAATCCCATAAAATAACTGCCATTGGGACTGCTTGAGAGAAGTTGCCATAAACATGACTTACAAGGAGGGGACATCCAAACTTTGCGCAACCTGGTGATTGCATTGGCGGTTTTCCAGGATCCCCTAAGGGCTGCTGCTAATTGGCATAAAATTAAGCAGATTGCAGCTACTCTCATCCTTAATACAAAGAGAGGGCCCCCGGGAGGCTACAGGTTGCAGCGTGTGGCTGCTTCCATCGTGGAGCACAGTGCGTGGGGATGTTTCGCTCCTCGGGCTCTTTCTCCCTATTGAGGGAGGTCTGGGGAGGATGCAGTCCCAGCAGAGCCCTTTGCAACAGCTTGACCACCCTTCTTTCAAAAACAGTGCTTTCAACGTCAAATATGGCTTTGATTAAGATCATGGACTGTTAATCAGCATTTGCAAGATTACAAAAATAATAATAATAATTTCCTCCTCTCCTCCGCCCAGAAGCAGACTGCTGGTAGAAACTGAAGCTGGAAAAAATACTTGAAAGTCAGCGAAAGTCACCTTGGTAACTGCAGCAATACACTTGCTCAGAATAGGAGACATCAAACCCAACTACAAACAGCTTTAAAGAAACAAAAAGAATGTAATCATCTAAAGAATTAATCTGACAACTGCCCACATTTACACCTCCCACAAGCTCCCAATCAGAGGGAAATGCGCTTTAATCTCCTCCAACCCCCCTCCAGTTTCACAAAACACTAGATGCTCAGTCCTTAAACTGGGACATTTCCGGCGTGCTGCTTCCATTTAAATCTACTGCCTTTCCAAATGCAGCAGCCCTAGCTGCTGCAGACTTGTTTTTTCTGGGCACAGAGAAACATGGCTTTTTTGTGTGGGTTGGATGAAGTATTAAATCTGGAATAGACAAAGTCTGTGGCGTTTTACGTGATAGTCAGCTAGAGCTTAGTCATAACAAATAAAACTCCACCGGTTTCTGCTGCTGGTTTATTTGGTGATGGGGTGGAGGAAGCAAGGGCTTACGGGTAGCTGACAGTCATAAAACCAGATATGTTAGTGTTAGAAAGCAAACTTTTTCTAAATTTTCTTCTGCGGCTGAAAAGTACAAGCTGTGGACGGCAGTGTGTGTTATGATGTGAACTTCTCATTGACAGCACCGTAGATGTCCTGGTGACCCTCCATCTGGGCTGTCACCCTTTGGAAGAATAAGCACAAGCATTTCTGTTCCCAGTGGGAGTATATTGATGGGTATTTAAGAGCTGCTGCACGTGTTCCAGAGATGAAAGTCGCGTTCACTTTGTGGCTTTCCTTGAGCACCTTGCACTTCGACATCTCCAAGCATAATGCAGAGCTGTAGGATGCACCATGTCCTCTTCATGTGCTTAGTCCACCACGTGGCCACAAGTTCCCAACCATACAGAGCTCTTGATGAGAAACATAAAGCTTAGATGGCAGGGTTCTGCTACTGGAGTTTCACCCTCAGCTTCAAATAGCTGGAATTGTGTGAGCCCCACTAAGGTGGAACAAGAAACACTGAAACCGTGACTATCTTGGAAAAGTTTCGTGGAAGGGATTAATTATTTCATGTCATTCAAAGTATAAACTACCATTTTGCTTCACTCCTTCACCTTTTTGACAGAAGGACTGGTTACTTATTAATGTGAAGTCATAATTATTGACAGCCTTAAAGTCGCAGCAGTTCCGTTTGATAGTTATACATTAGTCAACATCTTCTCTCGAGTGTATAATGACAAACAGCATTTGCTGTTTCTAATAAGATTTAGAAAGCTTTGCCCCTTTTCTGCAGAATATTGTCGTCATTGCTATTATTGCATTAACAACCGGAGGCTGTTTCCCCTCAGGACTGCAGCCCCATTGTGCTAGCAGCTGTACTGGCTCATGTGGTGGAAACTGAAAAACCCACCTTCATTACAGGGGGTTTGGAGCCTGGGGTTGCTGGGATCCACCCTCTGGCAGTCTGTCCTTCCAAAGCGTGGACCTACAGCACCGGCTGTGGGACGCCGTGATGGGAGACATGTCTGGCACTTGAGCGATCCAGGTGAGAAGGGGACGATCTCCTGTCTGCAGCAGTAACTGCTGTGTAAATCCCAATCCCCTCCGGGGTGCCTAAACTCTGGAGCTGCATTTAACAAGTGCAAGCTTATGGCCTGCTTGAAAACCATGCGTTGCTAATGGCTGACCCTTTTGGAAGGGATTGATGAATTAATGATTGGAAGCGGTAGACCACTGGCTGACTTTCCCACAGTTCACTGTGTATATACAATCTGATAAGGAAGTTCAGGCAAAGCTTAGCTTAAGGTCAACTGATCATTAATCAACTGTGCACTTCTCAGGTAATCAGCCTGCAAAATGCTGTCCCACTCCACTCTTTGAAGACCCCACCTACAAAGAGCTGTAAAATGTTTGCCCAAGTAAATTAAACACAGCTTTAAGTGCCACCTATAGACTACAAAGCATGTTGTGTCTTTGCTTCAGGGTTAACCCTCCGGACTGACACTTGGCTGACTGACAGACCATCAGCCCACCCCGTGCATAAACTGTATCCTGACCTACCCTGTCCTTGCTGCGTCCATTACTCTTTGTGTGTGGCTAATGCACAACACGAAACACATTTCATCTTGCAAGGAGATGAGCTGGGCTACTCTGTTTCTGTTTTGTTTTCTCTGCATGTTCCTGCCCTGGACCTGCAGGGTATTTGCAGGCCCTCTTGAGACTGAAGCTGAGCTTGTACCTTTGTATTGGAGTGAGCAGCTCAGCAGTCTGAGTGCAAAGCTCTCCTAGGCCTGGATGCCAGGGCAGAGGCAAAAGATGGAGCCGCTTTGGAAGCTGTTCTGAACTGTATTGCTACGTGTGTGGTTGATGGAAGTAATTTTGGGACAGCACGCAAATGTAGAGTCAAGTAGAGGTGTGATGGGTCGTGAGAGCTCGTGAGGGTCAAGCTGTTTCTTTACATTCTTTTCGAGATGTGTGTTCAAGATGGCTCAGCTTGCATGGAGGAAGGATCTGAACGTGTTTTGACAGTGTTCCCAAATGCAAACTACTTAGCCTGGTAGTGCTGTTTGGTTTTTAATTTGGCAAAACAGAACCACATTACAATATAGTATCTTTCAGCTCCCTGCTTTCCATCTCCTCCTCTTCTGGTGATTCTGCAGTATAGGAATTATCTAAACATAAGTCTGACTTGTATTATTTACACCAAGTGACAAAAATATAAATCACTTGTCAGACTCATCACATCAATTCATGTCATTCTCAAAAACTGTAAACTCCGTGTCCTTCCTTCTTTGTTCTGGACTATCATGTAACTGCTCTTTGAACACATAAAGTGTTTATGGTCAAGTATTTTGAGATACACCTGCTTGATTATCTGGAGGATTCTATCTGGCAAAGTTCCTAATCGTGTAACATCATAACCTTTAGTCATGGCTTCACGACATGCTGGCCTTGCAGAAACGAAAAAAATGCAAAGCTGCACTGCCTTAAAGCACCCCCACTTCAAAGAGAAGGCAATCTGTGTGTGTCCTGCTCATTATGAGCAGAATCCATCTTTGGCTCTTGCACTTGATGCTGATGGTAAAGAGTTCTCAAAACCTTTCAGTTGAGCTATGGAAATAAGTGATTTGGATATAATAGTAGGAATGCCTCAGACCTGAAAGATAGGTCACTCTTGCAGGTCACTGCCTAAAATATCCTGAAGACACAGCAAAAGGGAGAGGGAAGGCATACCTGCTAATGTTCCTAAGCTATTTTTCAGTGGTTTGGGCAGAGAGTGCAGGTTTTCTCCAATTCTTCCCAGAAATTCTATTTCTTGTGTGCTGGGGAAGAATGCAGCATGTGTCTTCACCTAGTTCTGATCCTAGGTCATCAAACAAAGGCAGCAGCACACTGGGACTGATAGTCTGCGGGAGGCTGAGTGGGAATTCAGATGTGTCTTCCTAACAGTTTGCTCTTGTGTTCCTCAGTATTGACACAATTGATCTGAATCACGAGAAGCAGCACGCAGTGCTAGGATCCTAAGTGTGCACGTTTTGTCTCTCTTAGAAGCCGGAAGGACAGTTTAGAAAGCGAGAGCTCAGCAGCTATCATTCCTCATGAGCTAATCCGCACCAGACAGCTGGAAAGCGTACACCTGAAGTTTAACCAGGAGTCTGGAGCGCTGATTCCCCTCTGTCTAAGGTGAGTGGGGCCATCCTTCCTCCTCAGCTTCTGCAGCTTTTGTCTTATGGCACTGTTTCACCATACAGACGTGCATGCAATGGTTCTTTAAAGGCCAGAGCTCAGATGATTTTGCCAAACACACTGGAAACAGATGATTCTTTGCATGTGTTTTCATCGTGGTAAGACTGTTTCTCATTCTTTTTTGCTGTCCTCCAGTATATTTTAGTGTACTGAAACAGGACAGGATTAGTATGCTTTTATTATTAATGGTCTAATGCTGGCGACTCTGATAAAGAAGGGATGTCTTATCATACTCTGTCAAAGAAATCCCTTGAGTTGTTAACTATGGCTTATGGACTCAGACACAAATATTTGTGCAAAGCCTGTTTGCAGTCAGTTTATGCATGCAAGTGTGTTTTCTAGTCAAATTCTCTCACTTACATGAGTGAACGAACAGAACATTGTGTGTACCCTATGCATTATCTTCTGAAGGTTAGGCTATGCATACCACTGTATGTGACATTCTAGATACTCACAGTTTCAGTCAGGCACTCTTTTAAAAGATACATGTGGCAAATGTAGTCGTTAACATAAGACAAATGATTGCAGGTGATTGAATTACTTTGGCTTAATGAATTACCTGCCTGTGGTATCAGAGTTATCAGCAGCAGGTGCACACTCGCCTGTGCCTGTTGAGAAACCAATGGGATAGCTGACATGAACATATTTTATTTTACATTATAAATGTGTAAACGCTCTGTCCTGATCACTTAGCACAGCTCAACTTGACCGGCAGTAACTCATCAATCAGCTGTGACCCTGTCATTGGGTGCTATGTATCTTACCCTATGTTTTCCCAATTGCATATTGGAAGCCATGCTTGCATGCAGAGGCACTCAGTCTAAGTACCACAGGTATGACTTTCCCTGTGGAAAGCACTGAATGAAGAAAAGGGTATTGATACTATAAATGGTTCTGCATATGTATCCTCTAGGTATTTTACTGAAATGCATAAGTAGTGCAGGTTATATTTGTCAAGCACCAGGGCATTGAATTACTAGGCATTGTCACTGTAAGTAAGTTTGATCCCACTGATGGTCCTGCTTAGAAAAGCATCATCTCACTGCCACATGATGCGGAGTCTGGATCCTCTCCTGCAGCTTTCTTGTTTCTGAAAGACTGACAGTCCCCTGTCTGTACATGCATCAGAGCTTCATCATGGGGGCACCCCCACAACGTGATCCAGTTAGGCTATTCTAGCTCTGAAGCAAGGCCCCGCATTATATAGGGGAGAATAAAAGAGAACTTGCCTCAAAAGGAGACTTGTGATGGACTAATCAGTCATATATTCCTAAAAAGTTAATAGTTGCTACCTTCAGGTGGCTTCACATGCTGATGGCAGAAGCTACAGTCATCGATCTGTTGAATGCTGCTCACAGCCTTTCAGTTCACACAAGTGTGTTTTATTCCCAGGGGAAGGCTCTTACATGGACGGCACTTTACGTATAAAAGTATTACAGGGGACACAGCAATCACGTTTGTATCAACGGGAGTAGAAGGAGCATTTGCTACAGAGGAGCACCCCTATGCAGCACATGGACCTTGGTTACAAGTGAGAGAACCTTTTTCCTTCCCCCTTTACACTGTCCTAAGTATGATCCTATGTTAAGGGCTTAAAAGTGTAACAAACCTGTTTAGTATCTCTTACAGTTTGTGCAGAATATTTTCAATGATTATGAACTCAAAAAATAATGGTAAACTGTTACTGTTTATGTTAATGGAGCTCAAATTGATGAACAGTGGCTGGAAAGTTATAAAATTATCTGTGAATACAGAAGTATCCATTTCCTGGAGTCAGCAAACACTTTGAAGACTGTATTTGCTCTTTATTTCCTCCAGAAAGGAATTTGGGGAGGCAGAGTGGAATGACCTAAACAACAATGGAGCCAGGCTCCAGCAAGCTGATCTCTAGAGAAGGCTGTGGGACTTCAATCCTACAGAGCCAGGATCTCAGTTTTACATCACCCTTAACAGGAGGGCAGCACAGTGGGTACAGCCTCTCAGTTTTACCTCTTTCTTAATGGTTCTATGACAAAACTGTGTTCCTTGAAGCACCCACACATCTTCTGCACCAGATTGTTTCTGTGTCACAGATTTTCCTTGGAAGCTCCCCATCTGCTTATTGTTGAGGGTCAGCCCTTTAGAGCCAGGGATGCACGAATTATATGATGGCATAGCATTATTCTAACCTTGAATCATGGTTATAAACACATTGCAAACACAAAAAAAAGCTTTGAGGAATATGTTTATACAGAAAAACACATCTCTGAGAGGCTATATACGTGCGGTACATCTCTGCCTTCACTGTTGCTGTGGCATTCCTGCCTCCCCTTCTGTTTTTAAGGCAGAGGTTTGTTTTTGCATTGCAGTGTTGTGGTTAACCTTCCAGTGACTTGTTTCCAAGGCATTCCAGTGCGTGTGTTCATACGTCTGGAGGACATCATACCTTGAAATCTGTATGACTTGTAAAGGAGCTGATCTTGGCTGGAATCATCTCGTGTAGGGATTTCAAAGAACTTGCATGCTTTGATTGTACTGACTGGAAAGTGCAACACTCCTGTAATGATTAACAGCAAACGGTCAGGCTTAAGGGTGGGTCATTTGCTGTTGGTTCCTGTGCTTGCCAGCATATGATACATGGGATCTTGTGACTGTGTTAACTCCAAACATAAGAGTATTTGTCTGCATTTACATCACATCTTGAAATGTATTGATGTGTGGAGTAGTCAGGTAACCTCTAAGAGTGAGGAATGGCAGTATTTAAGTCACCATTCAGGCAAGTAACCAATATTAACCCTTGAGCCCAGTTGCTTCTGTGCCTATTACCGTGGTGCTGAAGATTAAGCAAGTTTTTTGGAGTATGTGGAAGGGAAAGGTGAAGAGCTTCTGTCTCCTAAGGGATTAGGAGAAGCAAGTTCCCTTGCTTGTTTCCTGCACAAGATCATTGTATTGGATCTTCTGACATGACTGACTTTGTGCTGGCTCCTGCCCAGTCCTGTGATAGGAATGAGGGAGGACAGCCTGGCTGGGAGGGGAAAGGAAGCTAAAAGCAGCCTGGGACAAGAGGAGGAGGACCTGGTTGTGTGAGATAGATGTGGGAGTGTCTGAGGCTCTTGGCTTAATATGCAGTGCAGGGCTTCTTCTGTGCTCAGCAGTCCCTTGTGGTGTTGGGAGTGGAGGAGGGAGGTTCGTGTGGCTTTGCTTCAGAAGTAAAAGACATTGTGGTGCGCAGAATTATCAAGGAGGCGAGTCATGTTAGTTTAGACCTTTGCAGCCTGAGTAGGCAGAGTTGGCAGCCCCGCAGAGCTTTCACAATGAGGCCCAGGGGCCTTTCCTCCTCCTTCGCCTGGGACCCTGGGCACTGCAATGCAGAGGCTTGTTGCAAAGGCGTGCAAACAGAGGGATTATGGAGTGGAAGAGAGATGGCAGGCCTCTTTTCCTGCAGGTTTTTCTCCTATCTCAGGAAACAGAGCCTGAAAAATCCGGGCCTCCACTCTGTGCAGCAGCCAGGGACTGACTCCTTTTGGGCCTGAGTGCTGGTGCAGCGAAAGCCCAAACCTGCAGACTAAACACAGCACCTCCTGTTTACATCTAGTGGGCTGGAGTGGAGCATGTCCAAGGTGGGTCAGGCCGAGCTGAGCAATGAGCTGAGAGTCGCTGGCAGTGGCAGGTGCTTAATGGGTGACAGGAGTTTGGCAGGTCCTGCGCTGTTCCTAGCAGACAGGTGTCCGCATCGCTGCCACAGCTCGTGGCAGGAGCCCTTTTAGCAGTCTCAGCAGAAAAGGCAAGGAATCATTAGACGACGACGATTGTGTGTCCCATTTCTGTCAACAGTCTTTCCAGGTCACGTTTGAGGTGTTCTACTGGGGAAAGCCTGTCCTGCTGCTGCCCATGCTCAAGGGATGATTAGATTATTTCATTCTGCTGTCAAATTGGCACCTTTCCCATATTTGGATTTTTTTTTTCATTTAAGTAACATTTAATTAGTTCTAAGAAGCTAAATTCTATTAAAGGTCTAAGCATGTCAGGCTGGTTTATTTCTGAACTTCTTCCACTGTGTCATGTATTGTTGAATAGGGAAATTGCTTTGACTCAGAAATGTACAAACATATTCAAGAAGTCCTCCTTGTTAACACTAGACTCCTGTTTATATGCTAGTTACCGTGGCAAAGTCTCTGATGTGTAACACTTGCATTAACATTACACATGATCAAAGGCTTCCGTCCTTCTTTCTTCCGTTCCCCCTTCCCCCAGCACCGTGACAGCAGTATCCCCATGCCTCCTGAGCACCCCTCATCTCCTCTCCTTCCCGAAGGGCAGATGTTCCAGATGCACAGAGAAAGGCTGGGCAGGAGCTGTCTGGCCCGGTGTCAGAGCGTTAAGGATGCTGGTCATATAAACAGGCTCTGACATTAACTGCCCCACAGAGACATTCATATTCGTGGTGGAGTGCCCGAGCTTCTTGGTCTGAGAATGCCGAGCATGCAGTTCATCACAGATCAACCTTGTTTGTCTGTATGCCTACCCAAAGCAAGGTGAGGTTGTGCGTGTGTTCTCCTTCCCTCCCTTACTTGTGTTCAGGCAGATGATAGAGACGCTCTGTTGAAATGTCTTACTGATCAAACCCGACCCAATAAAGTTGCCTGAGCCTTTAATACATATTAATATTATCCTGGGGTAGTTTGTGTCAAAGCCTGTCAGCATGCATCATCCTTTGGGAATTACCATCATTAAGTCTTCGGTGATGGGAGTCAGGACATGCTTCTGCAAAGCTCCTCTGCTTTTATGTGTATGTCTAGCACAAAGCAGACTGTTCTCCCCTCCTACCTTGCTCACCTGGACTGCTTACTCTCCCAGAGGGGAGAAGGAGGTTTGTTTAACACTACCTTCAGATAATTTCTACTCCTGCTGCTTTAGGCAGTCATTGTTCTAGGGAAGAAGATGACATTCAAGTCTTTGATCATGTGCAACGTACATGTTACGCATCAGATATTGCTGCAAACTCTGACATACGAGTCCACACAGTGCAGTGAAAACAAACTTAAATAGTCCTCGTTAACTGCAAAGTCAAGCATACAGAATTTAAGAACTATCCAAAAAACAGTCTCTGCAGCTTAACCTTGCCCTTCGTGTGTGTATTTCAATGTCATATCTAATTGAATGTTCAGATGTATTTTTTACAAAGTACGCCACCTCATTCAGTGCAGAAGGATTCAACATGTTTTGGGAAATAAGGTAGACTCTTTCCTATAGGACATCCACTTTGCTTGTTTGTCAAAATCAGAACATGTATAGTGAATGAGGCAAGTAATCGCAAAAAGATCGGAATAGTCCCATGGTGAAGCCTGTTAAGTGTTACCCTGGAGAACTGAATCCTACCTCTATTATTCTGTTCTTTCTCAATATTATTTCCTGATTCTCAAGCTAAACTATTCACAGGTGGCAAATGAATTTGTGTTCCTCATTTTCTGGATGGCCAGCTTGAGAGCTGAGGTCTCATCCATGTTCCCAGCAGCACCAAAGGCCAGGAGGAATTCTGCTGCAGATCCCCTGTGCTCCACAGTGCAGAGTAGGCTGGAAAAGAGGGAGCTGTGAATCTTGGGAGAGGCATCTGCAAGAAGTAGCCATTTGGACTCAATTTCCTCTTCACTTGTTTTCCTATGTCTGTTAAGGAAAACCTTCTTCCAGTCATCCTGTGAAGATTAATTTAGTTCTTGCAAAGCTTTCCAGCACCATAGATGAATACTAGAAGCAATTTCAGGAAGATATTAAAATTCATTCTTGCAAGTCAGGAGAGAGAAAAGAATTCCGTGGAGTAGGGAGCCAACCTGAGAGTCAAGACTCACACTGAAACCCCTCTGCTCTTACAGGTTTTCTCTGAGATTTTGTTAGGTCTCAGCTTCTTTAGCTCCCTCCCTCATCTGCTGCATGGAAAGGAGTGCTCCCTGCCTTGCAGAAATGTGAGGCTGAGCACGTCAGAGGCTGTGAGAGCAGTAGAGACAGTAAGATTAGGTACTTCCAGTGTAATCCATGCTGGCAGTAGTCGGATGGAGAGTACTAAATAAAGGGGAAGAGAGTAGGAGGAAACGGGCAAACAACTTGAATGATAATGAAAAGAAATGATGACTAATGTTGCATTCAGTGAGCAGAACCATCCTGAGGACCAAGCAGGGCAGAGGTCTTGTGGGAGAAAAACTGCAGGCAGTCTTGTGATTACAGATTTGTTTCGCGAGGCAGACATTCACTGGGGCTGAATTAACATTGCACAGGCAGTCTCTATTCAGCCATTTCCAAAGTTTCACGTGCCCAGTATTGCTGGTCTCTGTAGAGGTTGTTTTTTTTTCCAGGTAGTTTACTCAGTTTCAAAACAAATGCTGTTAGGCTGATGGAGGCTATGGATCATTTGCAGTTGGCACCCTGTGATCCTCAGCACAAGGTCTCTGTCTCCACGTGAGCTCTGCTTGCCTTCCATGCCAGCAGGTTTGCAGCGTCCAGCAGACATGGTGTGGATGCTGAGGCTGTGGAAGAGGGGCTCCCCTCCCGTCTCCCTAC